AGCTCGGCGAAGCTCAGTATCTACAGTAAAAGGACCAGAAACTTCCAGAAGGAAATCTTCTCTGTTTTTCAGGAAAACAAATGGGGAAATTGTGGGTAATGACGATTGTAATAGAAAATGGGCTCGAGAGTACAGCCAAAAGAGCGTTAATTTCATGATGGTTCTTTTTATAACAAAATAGTCACACAAGTTTATCTTAATATCACAAAATCACCAAACAATTTTTTCAGTCCAAAAAGTTATATCCCGTTTGGCTTAGTTGATTTAGAGTAGTCGATAAGCATTAAGTGCTGAAAAGCACTTTTAAGTGTTGAAACTGATTTAAAAAATAAACAGTTACATGTTTGGATAAAATTACTGAAATTAATAATAAGCAGCTGAAGAACTTGGTATACGAAGAGTTTTGTTTTAAAAAGAAGTATTTTAGGGATAGAATAGTAAATATTTTGGTCAAACTTAAAGTGCTTATAAGCTGAAATTTGATAAGTTGAGGGAGACCAACTTATGGCTTTTGGCTTATTTTTGGCTTATAAGCACTTAACTTATAAGTACTTTTAATTTTATCAAACGCGTAGATAAGTCAAAAAGTGCTTATAAGCTGAAATTTGATAAGTTGAGGGAGACCAACTTATGGCTTTTGGCTTATTTTTGGCTTATAAGCACTTAACTTATAAGTACTTTTAATTTTATCAAACGCGTAGATAAGTCAAAAAGTGCTTATAAGCTAGTTTGACCAGCTTATAAGCTTAGCCAAACACCCTCTTAGTTTTGCCTAAATATCACAAGAAGTCATTAGAAGAAAGTAAATGAGACCATTTTCTATAATATTTAGGTTTGAGTAACTTTTTGGTTAGAAATTTTTTAGATATTTTTGTGATACTTACTTAAAGTAGAATAATTTTTCAATAAAAAAATAGTTTAATGACTTGAGCGCAAGCAAAAGTAGAATGATATCCGACGGAAGAGGAAAAGACGGGAGCGAACAGAAATAGCCGATTTCAAGACCTCCATTTAATTCAGTGCCAATGTTTCTAAGTTTTTTTTGCTAATGTAACTGCTTTAAATCAATTTTTATCGCGCTGAGTGTGAAGTTCAAATATAATCATACGAAGTTTGGTTGTCAAAGCTACTGGGCAAGCTAAACTTCAAACAAGTTGGAATCAAGCAAAATTTTATACATATTTTTACATAAAGTTCAGTCAATTGAATTCGGGCATAATAACTAAACTTCAACCAAACCTACTCCTACTTTTAGATTGATGCTGGAATAAAATTTGGAAAAAGAAATTAAGAAAATAAAAATTATTTGAAAAAATATGATAGGTGTGTGACTTACACTGCCTTCTAGAAAATTGGTGTTGGTCACAAAAGGTGATACTTATACCGCTTCAAACAAATATAGGGGGTTATAGAACCCCTTCAATGTTTAAGTGTATAACTGAAAAAACGAGACAATTACAAGGGAAAAAATTATGCATTATCCCAATATTTATGTTTATGTTGTTACGAGTACTATATGTAGTAAAATAATACATAATAAATTGATAAATAAAAAACATTGTGTGGACTAACATCATATACTCATTAAAATTTGTAGCTATTTCACAATTGTCTTAGACAAGTTGTCATATTTAAAACCGTAAATGATAGTATCATAAAATGAGTACACGTATACTACTTTTCATATCGCAAATTAAACAAGTAAATACTATCGAGTTAGGTTGGTAAATGATATTGTCAAATTTGCTATCAAGTATCACCAAACACATTCGAATGATAAACAACTTATCTTATTGTTTTGTAATTTATTATACCAAAACAAAAGGTTGTTACTCACTCAAAACTGACGTAGCTTGAAGTAAATATGTATTAATAGAGACTTTAGTTTCCTTTTTAGGAAAAATACAAAATTTTTAATTTAACTAAAAATAAAAAAGAAGAGAGAAATATCAATTCTTACATATTCCTATTCATCTCCAACTTTCTCTGAGATATTCATAACAATTGATATTGGTTTTCTCGAAATTTTAAATTCAACTTATTTGTTACCCTTTTATCCCAATTTATATGATAAATTTTTTGCATTAGGTTTTTTTAAAGAGTGATATATTTTTATATTTAGCATTAATTTACCTTTATACTATTACTTACTCTTAATGAGATGATTTATACTATTGTTCCACGCAAGTTTTAAAAGTTTGTTTTAAAAAAACCTACTTGTCTAATTAAACGTTATCACATAAATTAGAACGGACTATTGAAATACTTCCAACGCCAATGCTAGCATAAAATAAAAAATTTACTCCATTATAAGATTATTAATTTTGATAGAAATGTCAACCACGTCATGAAATTTAAACTATTTTGGTTGCACATGGAACCTAGAAGTCTAGAACTATCAACATTGCACACTGGAAAAATGTGCGCTTTCTTTACTACTGGAAATACTCTATAATTGCTGCAATAATTGTTATAACTACGTGCTCACCTGAGGGACAGAGGCTACGATTTTTTCTGGAGTTCCAAAAAAATAAATGAATTATCAACGAATTTTAATTGATTTAAATAGAAGATCAATTGAAGGGCGAACTACAACACATTGTAATAATGTATATATTTTTTAGTATTAATATTTGTTACTATAAAGTTTAATATGAATATTTTCTTAATATGGTCGTTTTTATCTTATTCATAATGTAGGCAACAACAATAACATACTCAGTATGATTTGGGGAGAGTAGGGTATATGCAACTTTATCCCTACCTTGTGTGAGGTAAAGAGGTGGGTTTCCAATAGTCTTTCGACTCAAGAAAAGTGTTTTAAATATAGTTTTAAAAATACAAAAGTAAAAAAATATATGATGAAAATACTGAAGAAAAGAAAAGTATTAACAACAAAAATAGTAAATATTACCAAAATAAAAAAAAACAGTAATAAAATTTAAGAATATTATAATAAAAGATCAATGATAATTATACTAAAACTAATGATACTAATAAGGAGAAGAGGGAGCAAATAAGGTGCTCTAACCTTTAACCAAGCTCTCCCACAAAAAAGAGAGAAATCGCTCGACTTCCAACAAACCTTCTATCCTAATCCTCGACTTTCATGCTTACCTATTTAGGGTTATATTCTCGGTGAGCTGAAGATGTGCCATGTCGATTCTAATTACCTCTCGCGAATTCTTTCTCGGTCTACCTCTACCTCTTCTTAGACCTATCAAAGCCAACCTCTCGCACCTCCTCACTAGGGTATTTGTGCTCTCCCTTTCACATGCTCGAACCTTCTCAACCTCACTTCTCATATCTTGTTCACCACGGAGGTCACTCCCACTTTGCCTCATATATCTTCGTTCTTAATCTTATCTCTCCTTATATGTCCATATATCCCATCTAAGCATCTTTATTTTCACTACTTTTATTATCTGAACATGTGAGTGCTAACACTCTATCACGTACAACATAGTTAGTCTAACAACCACTCTATAGAACTTACCTTTCAGTCTTGACAAATTCTTATCACATAGGATACCAGGGGTGAGCCTCTATTTCATCCACTTGCTCCAGTATGATGTGTAACATCATCATCGATCTCTCCACCTTGGATTATTCACCCAAGATACTTTAAGCTTCCTCTTTTGGAGGATGACTTGTGTATCAATTCTCATTTCCACGTCCGCCTCATGTGACACATAATTGAACTTGCACTTTGTATACTCAATTTAATCATGTATTCGCACAATTTTGAGGCTAATAAAAGTGTTAAAGATAAAAGAAAAAGAATTACGATAATCTTCAGGGTAATTGATCGGTAATGCAAATGCAATGAAATCAAAAGGTACCCATCATTCAATTCAATGTGTTCTTTAATCCCCATAATTTCATCCAGCATTAAAACTCTTCACCCATGTCATTCATTACAACTCTCTCTCTCTCTCT